AAAAATAATCTTTCAGAAAATGATGATTATAAATATTTTCATAGTCATTGTTCATTTCAGGGACTATTTTAGTTGGTCACTTTTAGCCTCTCTTGCATTCATTACTGTAATTCATAGAAAATTTAAAATCTCTAAGCTCCTAAATATTACATCTAACTTTCCTCAATGTAATGTAACCATAAAATTGTATATATTCAAAAATTACTTATACTTTTAAATTTTTAATTGTAAAGTTTTATTACTTTTCAAACTCATGATCACTAAATTAACATTTTTCTATAAGTAGTATAAGTTGAATTCATATTGATTTATTTTATTACATTCTTAAGTAAGCTTCTCCAAAATTTCATAGCTGAAGGCCACATTTATTTCAAGTCCCAAGAACCAGCAATGTCAAATTTTCTGGCAATAATTGCAAAGTGATTTAGCAGGAAAGGGCATTATTTAGAATATGTCTACTCCTTCCCCATTATCTTTATAAACTAGAGAAAAACTCGTCATTTTTCCCGGTTTTTAGACTATGTAAATTCTTCTAAGCATATAGTCTCTTTTGTCTACTTTAAATATTTAGTATTTTTACCTATTTCCCTTTAGCTATCTCATTAAATTAAAAAGCTCCAAAATTTCATGTTTGAACAAGATATATGAGTAAGATATCAATGTCTCAAGAGTACGTCACTTAATTTTTGGTCAAATACCGTTTCAACTATTACAGTTTATATGTTCGATTTGTTTATGCACATTAGTTAGTGCATTCATTCTGATAAATTGGGACTTTTAATGAACCTTCTGCAGTGGTTTCAGCATGAAGAATTTGTATTGGCAGATGTAAAACAGCTATCGAGAGCGGTGATTTGGAGAGCCATGTTATATAGATAGTAAACTAGTTATATTGATAATTACTTGTGACTGGCCAGATACAAAACACCTATCAGGAAATGTAGCTTAGAGATCCTTGTTCTAAAGCTATTTGATTCAAATCGTTAGAAGATTTTTATTCGCAACGGATGAGCTACAAAACTGCTATCGAGGGGTGCATTTTGGAGATCACTAAAACTATTTGTCCCCAATAGATAGAAGATTTGCCTTTACGACGTACCAGATACGAAAGAGCTATCGTATCATGTTCTAAAGTTAATAGAATGTAGTCGGTTGTGAAAATTTATATCAGGGTGTTTAAAGTATTTTTTGTGTTGATGGCTGAAAATAGTTTTTTATATGTAGTAGGCAAGATGTAAATCTTCTATCACGGACCGCCCGCTATATCTATATCTATCTATCTATCTATATATATATATATGGGTGATTCTCACGAACCATGACAATTCACACTGTACCTTGCTCCAAGATCTAATACCATAATACTAAAAGAACTCTTTTTTAAAAAAATTAATAAATAGCACTGATGTTAGCATTTTAAAATGACTTTTTACTGTAATTGACTGTTTTGTATACTTATGAAATTTAATTGAATATCAAAATTTCATTTTCCTGGCATGTCCCAAACAATATTTCCAATAATAACTAGCTTCAAAACTTCCCATACATTTTTCAAAATCTAAACTTTTTTTTATCTTATCCTATGTAAGCATTTCTAGAATATACGCAGAGGGAATTGTTTACTAAAACTTCATTTAAAATAATTTTTTCTATCAATAATTTGTTTGTCTCATGAAAATTTCATTTTCCTGGCTACTTCTATTTAGCGATTTATAACGAAAATAGATAGCGCCAGGAATCAATATCTTATGTTAATAGATTGATTAGATACCTTCCTATACAAACATGTCTTGTTGCATGAATAAAGAACCAATTTTCTGGTTTAAAATATATTTCAAAAGATTTTTCGAGGTGAGTAGGTTTTTGTGTTATTTTCCTGTTTTCTTGAAATCATAAATAACAAACTACATAGATTTATCTGAGTTATTTTAAAAAATCCTGTTGTTTTCTACAGAATATAAATGTCTTAGGCCAAAATATTAAATTAAAGTAAAGTTATATGCTATAAAATGGTGAATTTGTCATTATCCTGGCTTATGAATGCCAGGACATTGAAGTGTTACCATAAATTTTCTTTAACTGCTAATATTGTAAGGAGGGAAAGCAAATATAAACCTAATACCATGTTTATGTATGATTGTAAAATGCTTGGATGTAATCAAAGTTATTTATTTATTTAATGATTGATTATTATACACAATTTTATTCTGTACATATCAGCAACAAAAATTTTTT